TGTGGTAGCACATGCATATAGCCCCAGCATTGAGGAGGCTGAGCCAGGAGGATTGCTGCGAGCTTGAGGCCACCCTGCTTACATAGTGAGTTCAAGACCAGCCTGAGCTACGTAGTGAGACACCATCTCAAAACAGAACAAAACAAAGAGAAACCAAAGCAGAGCTGGGTCATGAGGAACATGCACACTAGGTTCCCCGGGCAAGCTCAGGCAGCGCCGGCCGGAACGCACACCGCTTCAGACGCCCACCGTGGGCGGGAAGAAGGCTCGACAGCCTGGTTCCCTCTTAGGTTCCAGAACGCAGAGGAGTAAATTAGCATCATAGCAAAAGGAGAAGTAAGGAAGTAACAGCAGAAATAGGCGAAACAGCAATCAAAGAATGCAGAAAGCGAAAGGGCTGCAAGTTGCTTACTTAAGAGACTAATAAAGTGCATAAATTCTTAGCAATGCTGATCAATCAAAAAGAGAAAATACAAATTGCCAGAATCAGAGGTATTAAGAGAATCATGAAGATCCTACAGAAAATAAACATTATGGGTAACTTTATGCCAATCAATTTCACAACTAAAATGAAATTGACAAATTGCTTGTAATCACATCCTTCAAAAGCTGAGAAGAAAAGAAACAGCAACCATGAACACATTACGAAAGAGGCCAAATTCGTCACTAAAAGCTTTCCCTTACTGCCGTCACCCAGCGGCACGGCACTTGCCTCGCGTGCCTGAGGCCTGGGATGCTGCGCCCGGCCCACAGCCAAACAAAGCAAGAATGTTCCCACCAGGAAAAACCAATCCCTGATGCTTCGACTTGAATCCCTCCAATAATTAAGAAACATACAATACCAATATTACCCAGATTTTTTCAGAAAATAGGAAAAGAAGAAACACTTGCAGTATAGTCTGTGAAGTCACCAGAAACTTGTTACCAAAAGCTGATGGACACATTGTCAACAGAGAAGATTACAGATCAGTGTTTTGTATCATAAATATAGACGTAGATTCCTCAGCAAAGTACTATCAGATTAAATCCACTAATATATAAAAAGGGCAATTCACTGTGAGCAATTGGGTATAATCCTAGGAATAGAAATTAATTTAGCTTAACCTTTCAAAATCAGTGTATGTTACTACACTAAGCTAAGCAATGACTTTAAAAAATGTGTAATCCTCACAGTAGATTTAGACAACTACCAGCAGATCCATACCTGTTCTTGATGAAAACAGCGCCCACAGAGCAGCACAGGAAGCAGCCTCTGCGTGAGAACGTGCGGCCACACAGACAGCCCAGGGCCCGCATCACAGCGACCGCCAGACGGGGAGTGCTTCCCCGTTAGCAGGAGCACTAAAGCACTCCCCGCCTTTGGAGGCAGGTCAGTTCACATCGATGGGTGCTGACGGGGGTAATTCCCCAAGTATCCGGCCCCGCCCCTGCCGGCCACGGCCTGCCAGGCGTTTGCAGGCAGCAGGTGTGCAGCAGCCAGCACTTGGCTGTCTGATCGGTTCCTATGACACGCATCACAGTGATCAGCCGCTTCTGAGGCAGAAGTAACAGCCACTGTCACAGGAACTCTCACCTGGGCAACTCACTAGCCGCGAAGGCTGGCCAGAAGGTGCACCGTCTGTTTTCATTGTTCCCGTCCATTCCTGGAGGTTCTAGCCAGAGTAAGAGAAGAAAGTGAAAGCCTAAAGCTTGCAAATAAAAAAGGAAAGATATCTGTATGCTTTATGCTTAAGTAGAGTCTTGAGGAAACTGTAAGCAGCTACTAGAAACAATATTTGAATTTATGTAGCATGTTAGTATACTAGACTAGCAAGGAACAGCAGGAAATTTTGAGAAGTGTCACTTTTTAAAAATCCAAAGAAATTGCTAGGAAGAAATGTAACAAGGTGTATGGGAGGCAGCACGGTGAGATCCGTAGAAAGTGCGTGGGGGCCTGTACAGCGAGAGTCACAAAACATTCCCGAGGAGCTAAAGACGCCCCAGTGTGTGCAGACTCTGTCTGCCACCGTCACGAGGTGCGAAGCAGCTCACAGAGACGCTGTCTCCACGGCAGGCCGCTGCTCCTCCGCGGTTCTCAGGCGCGCCCAGGCCTCTGTGTGCGAGCAGGGCTTTCAGAGTGGGTACAGACAGGACGGGAGCGCGCACCACGGCCTTGGGAGGGAAATCTAACTTGGAGGATTCAGCTTCACCGATTATGAAAACTTGCGAGGTGGCCACAGTAGCCATGCAGGCGTGAGTCCAGGAAACAGACCCGCAGGGCGCAGGGCCTTGCTGCAGCAGAGCCTGCGAGCGCGCCGAAAAGGCGCTGCATCCCAGCCCCCCGCGCGGAAAGCACGGGCTTCGTGGCCCGCGTCACCCTGCTCAGAGACCCAGCGGGTGCGTTGTGCCTCTTCAGAAGATCCCTAGGGCAGCATGACTGGGACCTAGGCCTGGCCACGACTTTCTAACAGGAGATGCGGAAATATTAACCATAAATAAAATTTGAAAACTTGAAGTTCACAAAATTAAAAGTTTCCCCTTATGAAAACACCTACAGATATGTAGCATAGTTTACGTGTACATGCACGCATCCTACACGTGTGTGCAGACGTGTGTGGAAGCAGGAGGGCCACCCAGAGATGGAGGCCAGCCAGGGCTGCACAGCGAGGCCTTGTCTCGGAAAAACAAGAATGAAACAGAAGGGATGACTGTTGACATATGAACCATAGATGAGTCTCAAAATGATAATTTTGATGGAAAGAAGTCATTAGCAAATAAAAAGCTATGCTTACATTTTCCTGGAGTTGAAAAGCTGGTAAAATTCCTAAGCGGAGTCGCACTGCGGAATCGGTTTCCTAGGGGGCAGATTGACCAGAAGGGGGCGCAAGGGACCGTCCTGAGAGCCAGACGCTAACCGCCTCTACCCAAGCACAGCTGGGCGGCTGTGAACTGTGCGTTGTACTCAAGCAAGTTTTACAGCAATAAAATGTGAAGTAAGCTTAACAAAGTATGCGATCCGGTTCTCTGGTTTAACTAGCTTTGCTGTCGGTGGGATACTTCATGTGAAACCGTTGCAGTCCGCCCGCGCAGGCCTGTCCCGGGAGGCCGCCCGGCGCCGCTCTTCGCTCGCAGCGCCCCTCTCCCGGCCCGGCCGCCCGGCGCCCCGAAGCCTCTTGCCTCCCGCCGCCACCCGAGGGAAAGCGGCCGCGCTCGGGCCTGCGCGGGGCGCGCCCAGGTGGGATCTTGCTAACGCTCAGACTTACTTCCGGTCGTTCCGGGCTTTGTGTGGTCGCACTCGCTCCGCAACGGCGATTTTGTATCACGGCGCCTGTTGTTTAACATCACAACATGAGAATTTTTTCAAACTAAAACTCTTCTTTAGCAGCCTCTTGGAAGTAGCTGCGAAGACTTGCTCAAGCGGGGTGCTGCGGTCGTCATCCGCCGCTGCGCGCTGAGCTGCTCTGCAGAGCTTTGCTGTGCAAATACCGCTGTGACCAACAGCCTTGTGCTTGGGGCTTCTTCCCTGTAACATTCTTTCCTTGGCTTAGAGTTCCAGAAAATGGAAATTTTAGGTTAAAAGGCTATGCTTTTAATACTCATTGCTGAGTTCCCTTCCTAAAGGATGTCCTGCTTTCCGTCACCACCACCCGGAACCCAGCAGTGCTTTGTGTGCGCTGCCAGGGGCCAGGGCCAGTGCCATTCATGTGTCCCCTGGCTTGTCTCCAACAGGTAAGAGAATTCCGCTGCAGCCGCCACTGGCGAACTCCATCCCGGCTCCTCCCCTGGCCTGCAGCCTGGCTGCCACGTCACCGTCCCACCTAGACTGTGGAGGGTCCGTCCTCGCCGTCCACCCACATCTGTCTGTCCTCACCATCCATCCGCAGCCATGAACTTCCTCCGGCGACGCCTCTCCGACAGCAGCTTTGTTGCCAACCTGCCCAATGGCTATATGCCCGACCTGCAGCGCCCGGACAGCTCCACCAGCTCTCCCGCATCTCCAGCCACGGAAAGGAGACACACACAGCCCCTGGCCGCCTCCTTCTCCTCCCCAGGGTCCAGCCTCTTCAGCTCCTTTGCTGGTGCCATGAAGCCATCTGCATCCACACAGGCCTCTGCGGGTCCCTTGGAGCCTGCAGGGCCCTCTGCGCCTGTCATCCAGAGGCCCAGGGTCCTGTTGGTGATTGATGACACCCACACAGACTGGTAAGCATGTAGTCACGGGGTGCCACCCCTTGGGCCTCTCACCCCTTGCTGGGACAGAGAGGACAGTGCTCAGACATTTGGTGCTTCAGACAGGGCTGCAGGGAGGGAAATGACGCGCCGGAGTGGCTGTGCCTTGCTGGTGCATGGCCCTTGCCTGCAGTCCTGGCGGTGAAGTGCAGGCAGTGCAGGGCGAGGCTGACAGCCTGGACTGCGCCACTCCAAGTGCTTGTCCCTGGGGCTGCAGGTCGTGAGGTGGCCCTGTCACGGTCCTGCCCAGAGACCTGGAGCAAGGCACACACTGAAGCAGAAACAGCCGTCCACCCCTGTCAGGACCAGGCTGTTATGCGGTGAGAGGTCACGCAGGCCCACAGACCGCTCTGGGCCCTGG